CCGCTCTACTGCTGAGCTAAAGACCCTTCTGTTCCATGATCACTTCACATTGGTTTCGTATACCTATGACACTTTGAACAAATTTTGGCCCGACCCCGTCTCATTCTCCTTATCCTCGACCCTTGCGTACACTCACATCTCAGACTCACGACACCGCGATTGGTCGATTCTGGAATTGTATTCGGAAACACAGTGTGAACGTATGTATGTCTACACAGACACAAGGGCAACTGCGACTTAGGCCTGCGACTCGGCCGCGGGCTCGAGCTCGGGGACGGGCTGCGGCTTGTTGTCGGTGGGGAGCGGCTTGTTGGCGGGGAAGGCGAGCACCTCCTTGATCGAGTTGGAGTCGGTGAGGAACATGACCAGACGGTCGATGCCCAGGCCCCAACCGCCGGTGGGGGGGAGACCGTGCTCGAGGGCGTCGATAAAGACGTGGTCGATGCCCTGCGCCTCGTCGTCGCCCTGGTCCTTCTGACGGCTCTGCTCCTCAAAGTTGGCGCGCTGCACCCAGGGGTCGTTGAGCTCGGTGTAGGCGTTGCAGATCTCCTTGGTGGCCACAAACACCTCGAAGCGCTCGCACAGTCCGGGAATGTCGCGGTGGCGCTTGGCCAAGGGCGACATGACCTGCGGATGTCCGACGATGAAGGAAGGGTTGATGCACTGCGTCTCGATAAACTCGCCCGTCATCTTGTCGATGAGGCGCGAGGAGGTGCGCGGCTCGGAGCAGTCGACGTTGTGCTTGGCAGCCAGATCGGAAAGCCACTTGCGCGTCTCTTCGGTGTGGAGCTGATCCGCAGGCGGGAAGGTGACGTTCATGGCCTTCTCGAGCTCCTTGATCATGTCAAAGCGCTTCCAGGGCGTCGAAAAGTCGATCTCGTACTCGCGACCGCCCTCGACATCCTTGCCATCCGGGTGGTACTTGATCTTGTACGAGCCAGTCACCGCCTTGACCAGGCCCGAGATCATGGACTCGGTGATGTCCATGAGGTCGTACATGTCGGCGTAGGCCATGTAGAACTCGCAGATGGAGAACTCGGGGTTGTGCGTCTGGTCGATCGACTCGTTGCGGAAGACGCGTCCGATCTCGTAGACGCGGTCGAGGCCGCCGACGACGAGCTCCTTGAGGAAGAGCTCGGGGGCGATGCGCATAAAGAGGTCGAGCTTGAGGTCGTTGTGGAAGGTGACAAAGGGCTTGGCGGTGGCGCCGCCGGCGATCTGGTTCATCATGGGCGTCTCGACCTCGAGGAAGCCGAGGTTGTCGAGGAAGCGGCGGACGTAGTTGATGACCTTGGCGCGCTTGACAAAGATGTCGCGCACGTGGTTGTTCATGATGAGGTCGAGGTAGCGCTTGCGGTGGCGCTGCTCGGTGTCGGTGAAGCCGCCCTTGTCGCCCTGGGACGCCTTGGGCAGCATCTTGAGGCTGGGCGAAAGCAGCTTGATGGAGCGCGGGAAGACGGACAGCTCGCCCTTCTTGGTCTTGCCGGGCACGCCGGTGACGCCGACAATGTCGCCGCGGCGGAGCAGGTCGTGGATGGCGGCAAAGTCGCCGTCGGTGTGGTCCTGGAGCTGGGCGGTGATCTGCACCTTGACGCCCTCGCCGTGGAGGTCGTAGAAGCGCAGCTTCTGGCCGGCGGAGCGCATGTTGTGGAGACGGCCGGCGATGCTGACCTCCTCGTTGTCGAGGTGCTGGCCCGCCTCGACCTTGCCCTCGTACTTGGAGATGAACTCGGAGAGCGAGATGGAGACGTGGAACTTGTGCGGGTAGGGGTCCGGGTTCTTGGACTCGCGGAGGGCGGCGATGGTCCTGAAGCGACGCTCGTAGTACTGGTTGGGGTTGAGGTCCTCCTCGGCAGCAGCGGCGGACTTGGCGCCGGCAGCGGGAGCAGGAGCCTCGGCGGCCTTGGAGGCCTTCTTGGCGTCCTTCTCGCGCTGCTTCATGCGGCGCTTGAGCTCGGACTTGGAGACCATCTCGCCGGTAGCGTCATCCTTGACGAGGTTGACCGCGTCGGGCTGGTTGGCGGCGTCGGTGGCAGACATGTTGCGCACGACGATGCAGAGTGGAGAGCGATAGGCGAGCCGGTTCGGAAGGCGGGGTGGGGTGGAGAGGGACAGAGGCAGCGATCTGGCGACACGAGTGAGAGATCGGGTGAAGGGCGTGATCATGCAAAGCTCGACGACCGAATGCAAATGCAGGTAGGAGTCGTAACTGGTGGAGGTGGAAGAGGGACAAGCGACCAGCTCTTCTGGTCACGCAAAAAAAGCCGTTTCCAGCTTGGCATCCGACGCACAGAGCCGACGCAGCAGGACTCCAGCCTGAAGAAAGGCCGCCTTCTCGCCTCTCAGTTTTTTCAAAGCGCAGACACAGGTGATCTTGCGATATGCAGCGTCCACTTGACTCGACTCGACTCGCGCAGCAAAGCTTTCTCACAGAAAATTGGGGGTCTAACACTTTGTCAAATTTTAAGCGGAAGGATCGCCGATCGGATCCCAGCTGCGCGGAGAATTGAAGAATCGAGATAGGAGGTGTCAGCGACCTTGCCCGCATACTGTAGCTCTGACCGCATGATTGGTTGGGAGAGAAGCACTTACTCGGTCACTAGGTATTCGTCGAGGGAAAGCAGACGGTCCATGTCGGCTTGGTCGAGCTCGAATGCAAACACGTTGGCGTTTTCGATGATCCTGTGTTGCGAGACCGATTTGGGGATCTGTTGAGCGAATGTCGAGTGTAAGCAATACGGGCCAAGCTGCCGAATTGTGGCGCACACGCAGACGTACAGTGATGTAGCCTCGTTGGAGCGAGAAGCGACTGCATGAAGCGATGAGGTGTCAGAAGTGGTCAGAAGCGCGCCAAGCGATACAGAACGGTAGCGCACGTACATGAGCACCTGAGCAGGCGTGGCCGAGTGCTTGGATGCGAGCTCTTTGATGGTCGGGTGATCGAATCTCTCGGCGCGGACAAGGGGTCCCCAGCACTCCAGAGCAATGTTGTTTGCGCGGCAGTAATCGACGAGCTGGAGACGCGCCATGAACGGATGCAGATCGCACTGGTTGACGGTGGCTGGGTACTTGGGGTTCGAGTCGAGAAGCTCCTGGATGTGTCTTTCGGCGTAGTTGCTGACACCGATGCTCTTGATGAGGCCCAGGTCTTTGGCCTCCTGGATGGCCCTCCAGCTGTCGAGCCTGTTGGAGCGACCGCCGTAGGGGCTATGGATGAGGTAGAGATCGATGTATCCTAGGCCACACTTTTTGACCGACTCGGCGATGCTGCGCTTGGCTGCTTGGTAGCCGTTATTGGACTGCAGCTTGGAGCAGTAAAAGATGTCGCTTCGGCCGATGGGGCAGCCGGGCGAAGCAAGGAAGCGCGAGATGGCCGATCCGACACTCTGCTCGTTGTAGTACCACTCTGCACTGTAGATGCACTCCAGCACTGGTCAGCTCTGCGTACCTAGGGAGGAAGAGGGGGTTACAGACGCACCAATCAAAGTGACGATAGCCGGCCTCGAGCGCCCAGGTGACGGCGCGCGAGGCTTCTTGGTCCGACATCTCGTACACGCCGAAGCCTAGCCTTGGGATGCGATTGCCATCGGACAGCGTGGCGTACGAGCCAAAGTGTAGCTTGTCTGTCGTGTTGGTGGCCGGCATATTGTTATCTGCGGCTCGCCGAGTATGGTGGGGGAAGCTGCAGCTGCAAGGCATGGCCCGAGCTCGAGGTGGGATTTGACGCCCAAACCTCCACACAAGGTAACTGCACTCTGCCGAGAGGGTTCGATGCATTATCCTGCAACGCTACAAGCAGCTCTTTCTATCCGACTTCCGGAGTGCCGCACAGCATCACAGCGACAAGAGCGCAAATGGATCGGCACCGCAAAAGCGGCGCAAAAGCGGGTCTCGCTGCATAACTCTAAATGTGCGCTGTCGGCAAGTCTCAGGTGGGACGGCGACTTGCCCACTAACCTCCGGACGAGTGGACGGACCCTTGCACAGCGCGTCGAAGCAAGGGCACCGACAAAGCTCCGGACGCGTGGGCGGGCGTTGCTCTCAGCTCCTCGGTGCATCGGACCCACTTGACCGGAGCAGGCAGAGGTGTGCAGCTGTGATAGTGTCCGATGAAGTCTCGAGCGGGAGCGAAAAGGCTGTGGCGGCGCAGCGCCGCACAATAGGACAGCGTCGAAACGCGCGCCTAGTTGCTTAGCTCAAATCCGGGCGCGGCGTATCGCGCAGAGAGTAATCCATCCAACACGGCCAACAGAATCCAACTTTTCCGAAATTTATTTTAACCGCCGACGAGCCAAAGAAAGCGGTCGGCAACGTGCGCAGTCCGAGGAGAAAGCTCCTATTATTTTTGGTTTGGACCGCTGCGACTCGCTCGCCAGGCACAGCGGCGCTGTAATTGCCACTGCCACTGCCACTGCAGCCTCACATCCGCGCGCGTGGAAGCTCCGGAGCGGCCGTTACTCCTCCACCGCTAACCGGACCTGCTAAAGCGCTGTTCGGCTTTGGTACCTTGGCTCCCTACTCCCAACTCGTCCCTCTCACCCGCACGGGCTCGTCACCTATATCAGCATCCCCACATCTCTCTCAGCCACGTCGATTTCCCGTACAAGTACCTACTCAAACGCTCCTCAGTCTATACCCGCAGACCAACGCCACACCCACCGCTCGGAGGATCTCGGCCATCTTCTCTACACTCGCAATGGCGGCCAGAACGCCAGCACGAGAGGCTGCGGCAGCCAAGATCAAGGACATCTCCGCAGCCCTCGCATCGACATCCTCCTCCAGCAAAGCCAGTCGCTCGTCGCTGAACGAAGAAGGCCTCATCCTCTCCGCTCTGCGCATGCTCGCCACCTTTGACAATGCCAAGAATGCGCTCTTCGCCCTGGTCGTCTACCGCTACTCCACCCGCCTTCTCCGCCACCTCAAGGTCTACGGCGTCTCCGAAAGCCTCTTCCAGCTCTACCGCCTCATCTCGGCACGCGCATTCGCGCTCCTCCTCAAGACCCCCGCCGCACGCCGCAAGGTCAAGCGCGAACTCGACTCGGCCATCGCAGAGGTCGAGGCAAAGATCGTACCCCGCCCCAAGCATCTCGAGATTCACCGCCAGCTGCCCCAGCTCGGCAAGGAGAACGACTGGATCCGCGGCGAGATGGCAAAGCTGCAGACCATGGAGGCCGGCGTAGACGCAAAGATCGTCGATGCAGAGTGGCAGAACCGCGACGGCCAGATGGTCTGGAAGGGCGGCAAGGTCTCCGGCGCCGTCTACCACGGCGGTGACGACCTCTCCGAGCTCCTCGCCGACTCGATCAAGCAGTTCCTCGTGTCCAACCCGCTGCACCCCGACGTATTCCCCGGCGTCCGCAAGATGGAGGCCGAGATCGTCTCCATGGTGCTCCGCATGTACAACGCGCCCGCGTCGGCTGTCGGCGCCACCTCCTCGGGCGGCACCGAGTCCATCCTCCTCTCGTGTCTCGCCATGCGCGAGTGGGCCCGGGCCACCAAGGGCATCACCGAGCCCGAACTCATCATCGGCGTCTCGGCGCACGCTGCCTTTGACAAGGCAGGCACCTACTTTGGCATCAAGGTGCACCACATCCCCGTCGACCCCATCACGCGAAAGGTCAACGTCGGCCGTGTCGCGCGCGCCATCAACCGCAACACCATCGGCCTCGTCGGTTCCGCACCCAACTTCCCCGACGGCATCATCGACGACATCCCCAACCTCGCCAAACTCGCCAAGCGTCACAACATCCTGCTGCACGTAGACTGCTGTCTCGGCTCCTTCCTCGTGCCCTTCCTCGACAAGGCCGGCTTTGACACGGAGCCGTTCGACTTCCGTCTGGATGGCGTCACCTCGATCTCGTGCGACACGCACAAGTACGGCTTTGGGCCCAAGGGGCTTTCCACCATCCTGTACCGCAGCGCAGAGCTGCGCAGGTTCCAGTACTACGTCAAGACCGACTGGCCCGGTGGAGTGTATGCCACCCCGACGCTCTCGGGATCGCGTCCGGGCTCGCTCATTGCAGGTACCTGGGCGGCCATGATGAAGCTCGGCGAGTCGGGATACGTGCAGGCGTGCCGCGACATTGTGGGCGCGGCCAAGGAGATCCAGACGCGCATCGAGCGCGAGATCCCCGAGCTCTTTGTGCTGGGCAAACCCATCGTGTCGGTGATTGCGTTTGGATCGGCGGCGCAGAACGTGTCGATCTACGATGTCGGCGACCACATGTCCAAAAAGGGCTGGCACATGAACGGTCTTGGCGGCGATGTGCCTGCCATCCACATTGCGGTCACGAGGCTGACGATCCCGGTGGTTGACGAGTTCGTGGCAGACCTCAAACAGGCAGTGGCCAAGGCAAGGTCCGTCTTCAGCGGTGATAAGGGCTCCATGGCCACACTTTATGGGCTGGGATCGGGTGTGTCGGCTACTGCCATCGTGGGTCAGCTCGCGACTAGGTTCATCGACACTCTCTACCTCATCTAGATCAGCAGTGTAGATTGCGTGCAGGACATTGTATTTGATTGCCTTGGCTAGCGTGTTTGTGATGTGCATGTGTGGGGTTCGTCGGCGCAGAGGAGGAGGACGCACGGCGGAAGAGGTGTTGGGCACGCTAGTGGGGCCATGGTGATGCAAAAAAGCCAGGTGAGGCGGTAGCTAGCACATGAGGATTTCGATGTCTTGCGGTACGATGTTTGAAGCGCTTTGATGGTCTTGTAGACTTGAAGTTAGAGCTCCTTGTGGTCTACGTACCAGGGGATTTGTTTGATCTGGTCGATGAATTCGCCCAGGGGCTTGTCGACGTGGTAGCGCACGGTGATTTCGTGGTAGTCGCGATCCTGGTGCCAGCCATCGACGTATCCGACACGGCTGTCCTCGTGCAGATCGGCGAGCCAGGAAACTACATCTTCGTTGGGGACCGACCAGCGGACCTCGATCGTAGGCAGCGTGGGAATCTCGTCGGTCGTCATCGTCAAACTTTCTGAACCTTTCTGAGAGCAAGTAAAGAGTTGTGCTAGGAGCTGGAGCAAAGACGCAGCTAGACGAGGGTTATATAGACGACACCTTCTCCTCCAGGACCCAGCACAAAGCTCAGGTAGACGTGTGACGACGTGCGCAATGCGCAACCACCCGCTGTCCCACCCGCTTTAAGGTTGGCGCAGCGCACAAAAGCTTGCATCCGCTTCCAAGCCGTCCATCAACGGAAGCAATCACAATGCCAGCGCGTGCGTTTCTGGATGCACTGCATTGCGCAAAGACATGCACTCCTCCGCCTGCCCACGGCGATCACACCCTCATCTCGGACGCGCAAGCTTTGTGTAAAAGTGCAAGTGTGTGTGTGTGTGTGACTGGTATGATGAGGTTGCGGTATTCTAACAACGCGGAAGCGGAAACAAGCAAGAGGCGACTGAAGCAACAACAGAAGGGGGGAGAAGAGATCCTAACCAGGATGGCGCCCGGGGTGCAAAAGGGAGATGGTATTGGAGATGCAGAATGCGATTCGAGGCGTAAAGAGAGATGCTCAGAGAAGACCGCAGTCGCGCAGGTTGACCTGGATGATAATGTCGTTGACCGCCGACATGACAAACTTGATCTGGGAGGTGTCGGTGGCGCAGGTAAAGTGGGTGTAGATGGTCTTGGCGTCGCTCTGGTTGAGGCTGACGAATCGGTTGACAATGTACTCGCACGCTGCATTGTAGTCTGCGCCACCGGTGTAGTCGCTAAAGTAGTCGGCCATGGGCGAGATGGGGAGCTTCTGCTTGAAGAGGTCGATCTTGTTGAGGAAGAGGATGATGGACGTCTTGACGAACCAGCGCGAGTTGCAGATGCTATCGAACAGCGTGAGCGCCTCCTGCATGCGGTTGACGTTTTCGTCTTCGTAGAGCAGCTGATCGTACTCGGAGATGGCCACGAGGAAGATGATGGCGGTGACGTTTTCAAAGCAGTGGATCCACTTTTTGCGCTCGGAGCGCTGGCCTCCGACGTCGAAGAGCTTGTAGTTGAGCTCGCCAATCTGGAAGTGGGTCTCGGTGATGCCGGNGTGGATCCACTTTTTGCGCTCGGAGCGCTGGCCTCCGACGTCGAAGAGCTTGTAGTTGAGCTCGCCAATCTGGAAGTGGGTCTCGGTGATGCCGGTGGTCTTGACGCGCGAGCGCAGCACGTCCTGGTCGGTGGGGAGGTATTGGGGCTGGGCCATGCGGTGGATCGAGTCAAAGTAGTACTTTGCCGAGTCGTTGAGCTGGTATTCGCGGCTGCGGCTGAAGCAGGCCTGGACGCCGGCGTCCTGCCAGAGGCCGTGGATGGCGTCGGCGACGTCGGCGGGGAGCACGTCGGACTCGATGCTGGGCGAGAGGCCGAGGATGACTTCGGCGCGCGGAGCGTTGGAGGCGTCTGCGAGCGGGATATCGAGTCGCTCCATGGCGTCGAGCATGACGCGCATGGACTGTACGGTGTTGGAGAAGATGATCTCCTTGTAGGATAGGCGCTCGTCTTGCGAGTAGGATCCGTGGTTGATGAGCTTCATCTGCTTGAGGATGGTGGACTTGCCCGACTCTCCTGCGCCGAGGAGCAGCATCTTGATCTCGTTCTTTTGGGCGAGGCGGTCCTTTTTGAGCTGCGCCTCGATGGCATCGTTACGCGCCTGCCCCTCCTTGTCGACCTTGGAAGCGCCGCAACCCATATTGGCGAGTGTTGATGGGGGGGAAGGTGAGAAGGGAAAGAGGCGGTCGATGCAAGGTTGACGCGTTGCAGACGATGGATCCGGCGTGATGGATGCGGATGCGGACGCGGATGAGGATGCGGATGCGATGGGCCAGAACAAAGGGGCCGTGAAGGTGAGCGTGGGGACGCGAGCGAGTCGGTGCGAAGGTGGCCGAGTGGATAAGTGAGCGATGCAAGTGCCGTTGTTGGTGTGGATGCGCCCGAATCGAAGCGGAGCTGGTAGGGCGGGGCGGGCGAGGTGTTTGGGCGGACGGAGAGGATGGGAAGAGAGGGAGAGAGAGCCGGAGTGATCAGAGGATGGCGAGCGAGTGGATGGAGCAGCGAGGGCGAAGGAGCATTGCCGACGGAGCGGGCGGGGAAGCGAGACAGAGCAACAGAGCGACAGAGCGACAGAGCGACAGAG